TGGCGACATACACTGTATGTCGTCAGTCACGAAGGGGTTAATTAAAAAATGTATAAGAAAATAAAGTGCTGAGGAGGCTATTAGAGACCTATAAGTCCCAAGATAAACTGAAATCCCAGACATATGATATACCCTATAAATCTGGACAAATAAAATAATTATGAATTACCTTTCTGTTCGCTACACTAATTATGTAAACATTATTATTGCCAAAGCTGTGGAAAATGTTTTTTTTTGCATTTTTTTATTAAAAAAAATATAAGAACTTATATAAGCATTATCAAATCAAAGCCCATTTTCCCTTTACAACGGTATATAATATGCCTAGGTACAATGAATTGGGAAGATGGAAAGTATGGTTACACAAAACACATAGCAAAATTGCTCTGGTCCCTATGCATGAAAAAACATTTCTGAAGCTGTGCCACTAAGGGGTTAAGAGATCTCTGCAGTATAAAAACATGCAACATCTGCAGCATGTCTAAAAGGCACAGCCTATTTTCCCTATTGGATTTATGTATTTGGAACCTCTGTTTCAATTACTTTGTGATGTGATTCTGGATTTATCTAGGCAAACCTTTAGGGCCTGTTCACATGAGATCAGGTCCTGATCAGCAGATGTGGAGCTGCTGATGCATTGCGTTTTTGGCCGCGTATTGGCCGCGTTCCAGCAAAAAAAAAAAAAAAATTTTTTTTTTGCTGGAGTGGTGCTGTTAGTATGTTAGCTGCAGCGGAGTGCGTTTTTGATGCGTTTGCGTATCCTGACCGTTTCCGGACCTGACAAAATGTGACATGCAGTATTTTCTCTGTCGTAAGCTGAACGGACTGCGCACGTGAGAACTGGAGCCCATAAAACACATAGGGATACATTGGGATGCATTTTGAGTGCAGCAGCGTACGGAGCCAGTCAGCACACAAAACGGACGTCGTGTGAACAGGCCCTTAGTCTACAAAAAGTTAAAACAATATGATCAATAACAGGTCTTATTGTAAGAATGTTTATATTTCATGCTTGTTATAATCTACTGCAGATTATATATACTGTACACGGTTAAATATGCATGGTCATTCAGCATGTGTATACTGTACCTTGTATTTATACATAGAAACTTCTTAAAATATTTTATATGCGACTTTAACCTATTTCTGTTTCAATATTATACATTTTTTAGATGGCAATTTTCAGTTAGGGTGTAGGTGCCAAGTTGTTGTTCTCAAATATTTGCCATTTCCTGGAGTACCTTGTACTCCATTTTCCTCTTGTTAAGTTCCAGCTCAAATTCTGCAACAGATATGAGAATGTATTCCCACACAGTACACTAAACAATTACTAAGAGGGGCTTACTGATAAAATAAGAGCAGAGTAAAGCTGTTAACCATAACATGCAATCATGCTCCAGATGTTGTGTCAGCAACAGACTGGGTGGTATTGCAACTGTTCCGTTTTATTTTTTTTTAAGAGCAGAACAAAATTAAGTTCTAATATAGTTCATTAAATGCTGCCAAAAACAGGGTGCCAAAATATTTTTTTTTTCACATAAGCCTATTAAAAGTTGCCTTTTGTGCCAATAATAGTGATTAAATCTTTTCTTTTTGCGTTATAAAAGGGGCAGTGGGGGTAGCTCCTGTCTTTAAGAGTACACATGGTATCAGGAAGAACCAATGCGATAATTCATAAATGGCTGGCTGGGTAAAAGGAAGGGTCTGGCACAGTGCAAAGCATGTGCAAAAGATCAAACAGCTGGCCTGATAATAGGGGAAGACTGCAAATCCTTGAAGGCAAGACAGCAGGCCGACAGCAGGCATATCAAATACAAGATACAGAGTCTGCAGGGGAAGGCGCAAAAAGGCCTATATGGTCAGCAAATAAATGGGTGATTTGGGACACAAAGGGGTCTATTCACGAAGCTGCCGAAGGATCTGGCCGTAGCTTCGGCCGATCCTTCGGCTAGCTTCAGCTCCAGGACCCCTTCGGTTCAGTAGAACCGAAGGGGTGCTGTACGGGCTATTCACAATAGCCCGTACAGCTCCCGATCATGGCCGAGCGGCTCAGCTGAGCCGAACGCATATGCATCGGCTCGGCTGAGCCGTGCTGAAAGCCGAAACTGGCCGA